CTCACCTTCATACATAAAATGAGAAACAAGAACCAGAGGTTCACTAGGTGGAGTTTATTGTTCCAGGAATATGATGTTATTGTAAAACATATTAAAGGTAAAGATAATGTAATAACAGATGCTTTATCTAGATCTTATTAACACACTGTATACATACTATGTATTTTCGTATATATTGTTTATGAACAGTTCTTGTTACACTCAAACTTTTTTTAAGGGGAGAGGTGTTATGATATTGTAACTATCATATTTATTTAGTTGGCCTAATTTGTTTTGTGTGGCCTTATGATATGTTTACACATTTGTACTTGTTTACAAAATGATATTGTAACTGTGCACTTTAGAAATCACTGCAACAATCATAGAGACTGATGGAATGATTAGAACTTTTTATTTGACTTACATAACGATTCCAGAATGATTATAACAAAAGATGCGTAATTTAAACTTCTTACATTGTTCTAGAGGTTTCCGTTCTAAAGTTTTCTAGGAGTTTCCTTTCTATAGTGTTCTAGAAGTTTCCGTGACAACTATATATATACAGACACTAAAGTTAAACTTTCAGACATAGACTTAGACATTGGATTCTAAGAAGTTCTCTGCAGTTGTTGAATTGACACTTTTATTTACGAACAACATCATACTAGATTGTGACCTATTGGACGTAATACTGTTTGGATTCCCGATATGAATTTCCGGATAAAGAGAAGACAAAAGATCGGACATATATTTTGACAGTTAAGTTGACATTTCTATTTGTGTAATACTTCTTGTAAACTTATGTATAATAAATCTTGTTGAATTTTATTATTGATTTGTGTCTTTTGTTGGCTACAATTTAATGGTGATCCTGGTCGTAACAAGGTAAATTTGGTATATTGCTGCTAAGGTGGGGAAAATTTATAATTTCAAAATTAAAATCGTCTCGCTTGTCATAGATTCTGGTATTGTGATGACCACTTATGTCAAATTCGAGGTGTAAGTCCAAAGATGAGGCGGAGGAAGTCGTGTCCAATTTTCTTTGATTTCTAGTTCTGTAAGATATATTAATAGAACCCAATCAGAAACGTTAGGATTGTTAATGGAAAGAACATCATCGATGTATCTGAATGTAAAAAAATAAATGATCGGGCTTCTTAGATTTTCCTGTTTTTGACAAGTGTCCGAAGGAACTCCGACTCATATGAAAATAAGAAGTCGGCAAGGAGAGGCGCACAGAATGTTCCCATTGGAATGCCGACAACTTGCTGAAAAGTCTACCTCCAAATTCAACAAATATGTTGTCAATGAGAAACTCTGGCATACTGATCATTTGTTCCTCTGGGTAGCATGTTTTACCTTTTTGTTCACTATTAACAAAATATGTCGTATGGTATCCCAAAGCAATATATTTATAGCGTTTGCTGCCATTTTTATATTGAAAAGCATTATGGATTATTTTTTTTTAGACGATTTTTCAATTTCACATGGGGAAGAGTGGTATACAGGGTTGATAGAATTAATTTCAGAGAAAGATCGAGATTTAAAATTATCAATAAGTTCTTTAGAGTTTTTTTTAGAACCAAACGGGTTAACTAGATTATACTGCTGAAGTGTTAAAAATTCTATATAGAAATAAGGCGATATGGTATGATTGCCAATGAGACAACTATCCACCAAAGTTGAAGCTATTATAGGCAACCGTACGGCCTTCAACAATGAGAAAAACTCATAGCGTATAGTGGGCTATAAAAGGCCCCAACATGAAAAATATGAAACAATTCAATTGAGATAACTAACGGCCTAATTTATAACAAAACAACTTACGAAAAACAAATATGACAGACATGAACCAACAACAACCACTGAACTACAAGCTTCTGACTTGGGACAGACACATAAAGAATATGGCGGATTTAAACGTGTTTGTAAGCGTCCAACCCTCCCCTAACATGGGACAGTTGTGTTACAGCACAACATAAGAACAAACTATAAAAATCAGTTGAAAAAGGCTTAACTCATCAGATCGATACAAAAAAAATGTTTTTGAAGTTAAATTTATTTCGAGAAAAATAATAATCTGTAAAGCGTATTATATAATAGTTTTCCCTTGAATCCGGGTCAGCGTTTTTTATTAGTTTGTTGTTATTGGCTTTGAACTAGCTTTCAGTAACTGCGAGTACTCACAAATCGGTACTTTGTTTGTTTTTTCAGTGTTTTAGTAAGTTCTTTTTGTGCATTGTATCAATCTACTGAGTAAAGCCCTTTTCAACTTGGCCTCCATCGTCCGTCGTCTGTTGTCCGTTAACTTTTACAAAAATATTCTCCTCTGAAACTACTGAGCCAAATGTAATCAAACTTGGCCACAATCATCATTGGGGTATCTAGTTAACAAATGTATCCAATAACCCCGCCTGCCAATCATGATGGCCGACATGGCTATAAATAGAACAAAGGGGAAAATGCAACTTTTTTCTATTATTTTGAAAATCTCTATATATAGAGAAAATCTGACAGTTGCAGAAATGTTCACAATGATGAGATCTACCTATTGTCTGTTTGTATCAAAACTGTCAGACGACTACTTATAGGAGTTATTGCCCTAAAATGACAAATTGTACCATTTTTGCTTTCATTTTTGCCTATTACCTTGAAAATTATAATCGATAGAGAGAACCTTTAAAAGGCAAAAATGATCAGCAAGACAAGATCTACACATAAATGCCAAAGTCTTCAGACGACTACTTATTAAAATTATTGCCCTTTAATGACGATTTTATCATTTTGTCTGATATAATATATAGATAGAAACTTAAATAAGCAAAAATAATCAGGAAGACAAGATCTACAAATAAGTCTACTCATTGTTGAAATTATCCGACTACCCTTTATTACATTTATTGCCAATTAATGACCAATATTACCATTTTCTGCGGTTTTGCCTAATATTTGAAAACCTGTATTAGATAGATAGAATATTATAGAAGCAAAAATGATCGACAGAACAAGATGTACAAATAGGTCAAACAGCCGAAATCACCAGACGACTCCTTATTTGAGGTTTTTCCCTTTAATAACGATATTTTACATATTATTTGGGGTTTTTGTCTAATATTTTAAACACTATAATAGATATATATAAACTTTAAAAACCAAAAATGATCAGCAAGACAAAATCTTCGTATAAGTCTTATGAATTAAATCTTCCGTCGACTCGTTATATTAGAGTGTTTGCTCTTTAATAACGGTTTTTACCAACTTTTAGTGTTTTTGCTTAATATCTTGAGAATTATAATGTAAAGAGAGACACTTTAAAAAAAACAAGAGTGATCAACAAGACAAGATCTACAAATAAATCAACATGGCTGAAATCGGCAAGCGACTCGTGTTTAGAGTTAATTTTTGACGTTTTACTCATTATCTTAAAAACTATAAAAGATTCATGGACACTTTAAATGACAAAAATTATCGGCAAAACATGATCTACAAATAAGTCAAGAACTGCCAATCGTAGGTAGACTCTTTGTAGGAGTGATTGCCCTTAAATGACGGGTTTAGTTAACCTTTTTTGTGTTTTGGTCAAACATTCAAGAAGATCAGCAATACAAGATCAACAAAAATGAAATTTTTTGTCAAGAATTCTATTTCAGTCTATAATGATTGGGAGTGTCCATTGTTTAAAATGCAAATAGACTTAGGTATGCAACACAGGCTCTTTAGAAACTCTAGTTAAATGTGGTAAAAGTCAACAGTCTGTTACTCTTGCACAAGTTTTTGCTGGTTTTGACCAAAAAAAATGGCTACACAAAAATAAAGTAACAGAATCATTCAAAAGTAAGAACAAGTATCTTGCATTAAAAGACAAAAAAAGGCTAATAAGAACTTTATAAGTACAACATGATAAAACAAAGTGATATGATATTATTGGTAGGGAAAAAAAACATACATCTGAAAAAGCCACTAACAATGTTAACTTTCGTTATGTTAAAAAAAATCATGAACTTGTTAAAATTCTCTTTTCTACCTATTTTATGGCCACTGATTATTTAAAACCCTTAAGTGGAAAGCTTATTCTGAGAAACCATTAAATGATACAGTAAATTGTTTGAATCGGGGAAATTGTCTTTGCCTGTCTTCCTCGCAATGGTATAAGTTGAATTGAAAATAGGTAAACAGATTTCAAGAGTATTCAAAATAGTAATTCAGACTTCTTCAGACAATTCTCTTGCAGTCAATTAAGATCTGTTTAGTCTATCATCAGATTGTTCATTGTATATATATGTTATTTACCTGCACGTCAACAACATACTGAATTGTCTGAACAGTTACTAAACATTACTGGATTGATTGCAAACCATATACTTGAACGGTACTGAATTTCCAACAAGAAAATATCTCAAATTTAACTTAAACTCTTAACAACACATAACATTATTAGGTTCCGACTTTTCAGATATTGCCAAAATCAAAATGACCGTTTAAGATTAAAATACGTTTACTTATGTAGAATAAAAAGAAGCGGAAGGTACCAAGAGGATATTAAAAACTCATAATACGAAGAAAAATTCCATAGCGAAAAAGAACGAAAAAAGACAACCAAGAACACGAAACACTCTGTAGAAACTAAAGACTCGAACACTACAAACTACCGGAGTTGACCTCGGTAAAAAGTAATTTCTTGTGCATTTTTCGTCATTGGGACTCATTTAAAAAAAGTTCATAAAATTATCTAGTACTAAACTAACAAATGTGTTTGAACTGTCAAGTTACCTTGTTTTTATATTTTAAATGTCTGAAAGACTAATAATATTAAGATACCATATCGTGTGGTATATGCTTTAATGTACCGCTTGTTTGTTCCCTTAATTTTTCTCTTCTTGATCGATTTACAAGATTGAAACTTCGATAAACTACTGTCGCCTTAATTTAATAACAACACATTTATCAATTTAGTAGTATCTAGTAACTAATTATTTTCATGATTTGATTAACTTTCTGTCAATTCCTGTGTGAATTTGTAGGCCATCGGCAGGTTAGGTGGACAGGATATGAAGCAAGAGTGTGATGATTTGAGAATCAAAACTCTAGACCAAACTAATAAAGAGATAATGCTTGAGATCAAGCATTCACATGATGAAATAAGGGAATTGAAACAGTCAGTTGAAAGCTTGAAAAAGTACAGTGGAGATACAGTGCCTTGGAATGTTAGAGGTAAATATGGCCTTATCAAACTGACACTTTTAATGTATAATTACAAATAACGGTGCTTTTTAAGGAACCTTCATTAAGAATGTTGGAGCCCTTGTTCACTTTTTTCAGCTGTCCGTCTAGCAAGTTTTTGGTAAATGGTATTTCGATTAAGTCCTTTTTTTCGACGTAGGATTGTTTTCTCTCCACTAAAATATACTTTAGATCACCCCCGATTTTTGTGGGGTTCGTGTTGCTCATTCTTTAGTTTTCTATGTTGTGTTTTGTATACTGTTGTTTGTCTTTTAATTTTTTTCCTTCTTAGCAATGGCGTTGTCAGTTTATTTTCGGCTTGTGAGTTTGAATGTCCCTTTTGTATATTTCGCTCCTTTTGTTAGTCTCTTGTGTTGTTCACACATTGTTGTCAATATAATGGAATTTTATGCGACTGTCATACAAGTGAGAGGTTTAGCTAGCTATAAAACAAAGTTTAATCCACCATTTTATACATAAGGAAATGCCTGTACCAAGTCAGGAATATTATTTTTTTTGTTTATACACAGTTTTGATTTAGAAGAAAAACCAGCATGGTTAGAAAATACAAATAATAACACCATTACAAGCACAATTCCATTTTAATATTCTTGTCATTATCAGAAAATACATAAAATAACACCATTACAAAACTCAATCCCAATTTGATATTCTTGTACGTCTATAAATAAAACAAATATATTTTATTTTTAGAAATTTACCTATGATAATATAAACGTCACAAAAAAATACGTCACTTTTTGTGACGTTGGTCCATTGATATGACGCGCAGTTTATATTTTGTTTGTGGTGTCTTGGTGTGCTGTCGTAAATTCATGGGAGGAGTCCGTTGTTATTCTGCGGTTTACATGTTGTAATTTACTATTACTAGTATATTATTTATTTATTTATGTATTTCTCTAGACTGAATGCTCTTCCGTTTGTTTGTACTGTATTCCTTTCACGTAGTGTTGTCATTTTAGCGGTATTCTTGACATTGCCATATAAGCGGGAGGTTTGGTTAGCCATAAAACCCTGTTTAACCCACCATTTTTTTCTTAAAATGTCCTGTATCAAGTCAGGAATATGGCAGTTGTTATCTACAGTCCGTTTCTATGTATGTTGGCGTTTGCTTTTGTTGTAGTTCAGTGTTTCTGTTGTTCCGTTGTTTTCCCCTTATAGTTGATGTGTTTCCCTCGGTTTTAGTTTGTTACTCGGATTTGTTTTTGCTTAATCGAATTATGACTATTGAACAGCGGTATACAAGTGTTGCCTTTATATATGACAGCTGTTTTCCATTCGTTTGATGTGTGAGCTATTAATTTTGCCATTTGTTAAGGGACTTTCCGTTTTGAATTTTCCTTGGAGTTCGGTATTTTGGTTATTTAACTTTTTACCTGTAAAATTGGTAAAAACGGAGCCCTGTAAAGGCTGCGATTTTATGGTCAGTATGTTGTTATATCAGAGTTATATCACTACGAGAACAGGAAGTGAATATTAATACCTTTGGATGTTAAGGGAAAGATTTTGGAGGTAACAGCTGACAACTTAAGAGATGTCAGAACTGATATATAGTTATGTTGGAGGTAAAGTTTGACAATGATAATAGAACTTTATTGATTAAATTATTAAATACATAAAAACGTTATTATGAGTGTAGTTAAATTGGTGAGAAATTTATAATAAACAGAACTGATGAGTTGACAAATATATACAAATAGATGACGTAGTTTGATTATGTGAAAAGCTTAGCACCTCTTATGAAATGTTAAACGTAGATTGTAAATAAATAAAAACAGTATTTCGTTTGTCTTTTTGCAATTGAGGTCACAAAAAAGAAGGATTTCGACTATGAGGGGATGCATAGATACTAACATTTCAATACGTTAAGCCTATGCATCTCACTGAACGATTAAAACTTTTATAATAATACAATTTGGGGATGCAGCGTTTTTTAGAGATAAATAAAAAAAATCAAGGATTACATTAAATTATTTATTAAGGCTTACCTAGACTTCAATATTTATCATAGTTTAAGAGACTAACAGTCGGAGGTCATGGGTCATTCGTTTGAGGGTATTAAGTAAACATTGGGATGTCTTGGTTAATATCATCTAATGTTAGTGATGTGTATAGACTGGGTTTGGTGATTTATATGAAAGATTAAAACTTGGACGTCATGTTAGAGGTCAAATATAATAAATTAGTATGACATAGTGCAAAGTCATGGCAGGTACTGTGAGATGTAGGAGTAATTAATGAAAGTTCACTGTTGATACCTTTAAATGCTGGCAATTAACACTGACATGTTACAGTTGATACCTTGGCAAGTGAAGAATCTTAATGTTGAAACTGTAGAATGTCAGACATAACTCTTTGGAGTTTATTGTTAATGGTTAATACCTTTGAAAGATAAAGATAAACACTTATAGCTCATGATTAATGCCTTTCAGTGTAAGAAATTAAAAATTGGATGATGCCTTGGTTTTTTAGAGGCTTTGACTAAGAGGGCATGGTAGACACCTATGAATGACCCCATTCTCAGCAGTAACATTACCTATTCCCCATCGTATGTCATTTACATTTCTCAATTATTACGTTACGCACGTGCTTGTTCACACTATACGGACTTTACTACCTGCCTTGCAGTTAAAAAGATTTCGAGCACGATTATCGTACTCAGACTCAGAAATCGACCAGTCAAAATCATTGATTTGGTGTTTTGAGTACACATTGTGTACTCCGAGTACTGAGTAAAGTCTTATGATCGAGAGCTCATGTGTTTTCTCATTACACAAACGTGTTTAAATAGAGTTATGAGGAAAAACGACTTAAATCGACACTTCATAAGTTTTATGGTCAAAATCCAAAATTAAATGACCGATACGATGTGTCTATGTGTCATTTACTACTGACATGTGTTTGCAGCCGTAAATACCAGAAAAAAATCGTTTGATCTGTTATTTTGACGATTGTGTCCTTTTCCCGATTTTGACATTTTGACCAAGTGTGGATTCGCATGGCGGACCATGTATGCATAGCAGGACACGCTTACCCTGTCGCCTCACCCGGTCTCACTACTTCTAGAATTAATGCGATGCCCTCAGATTTTATTTGTTACCTTGATTTGTATTTTCCGAATCGATTAATGAGAATTGTATGTCAGTAAATCACTGTTGCCTTCATTAGGCTAATACTAGGTGTTTTTACCAAACACTAATTTTAAAACTAATTCGCCTGGTTAAAAATTACTTTCTTCGGGTAAAATTCCTTGAGAGGTATTTAATTTCCATCTTTGCAGTTTGATAACAAAACCTTATGTACACGAATCAAATAGATATATAGCCTAGCAACCAATGAAACGGAAAAAAAACCTTATCTAGAGGATAACATATGATCTTTAAAATAAGACCACAATATATCAAATTTCAGAAGCTCCTAGTAGTCAAGTTATGAATAAATTAAAACATAGACTATCAACATGATCAATGATGTGCAATAAACATCAACGGAGAATGCAATAAGGTTCATTTCTATCCTAAAAATAAGTGAAATTTTTTAAATTACCTTACTTTATCGTGAATCTGCCAAAGGTTAAAGAGGTTTAAAAATTTCCAATATAAAGTGGTACCATGGCAAAAAGCTATGACGAAATCAGAATATTTTCATATTTGTAGATTTTGCGATTTTCCTTGTTTTTTATCAATTTTTTCGAATATAACAATGATGATCGCGTCAATATAAACTTTCATATTTAGTGTGATTATGTAAATAGATTAAAGAAAGCTTTTTTTAAAATAAAAGTTGCTGAGGTCAATATTTCTGCAAAAGATAGAAATTTGAGGTTAGAGGGGGTTGGTCGCCCGCAAGCATATTTAACCCCGCCGCATTTTTTGTATGTGCATGTCCCAAAATAGGAGCCTGTAATTCAGTGGTTGCAGTTTGTTGCTGTATATCATATATGTATTTCGTTTATTGTTTATTGTTTTGTAGATAAATTAGGCAGTTTGTTTTTCTCGTTTGCATTGGTTTACGTTTTGTCATGTCGGGGCCTTGTATAGCTTGCCACGTAGTATGAGTTTTGCTGAATGGTTGAAGGCCGTACGTTAATTGTTGTCTGGTGAATAGTTGTCTTATTGGTCATCATACCACATCCTCTTATTTGTTTTACAAAAAAACTCACAACCTTGCGGACCAAATTACAATTCCGGAATTGAAAAAAAATCTAATGTTGTACTGATAAGAGAAATTAAGAAAACAATCGTTGCCAACAACAACAAATTAATCAAAATGGTACTAATGTCACAAAGGATTTATAAATTTAATACGGGAATATATCAAAAGAATTATTCCAAACGGGAACTTATAGGTATCCTATCGAGTATAAGATATATTTGTACAAGAACAAGTGTGATCACAGATCAGTGTGCATATTAATAGTTTGGTTTGATTCATGGTACTGTGTGACTTTCATACTGAAGTTTGCACGGTATGCATGATACAAATAGTAATATTATGGAGGTATTACTATATTTGTTCCCTTTTTTATAAATTATTCTAAATAATAAGGATGTTCTTGTCCCAGGCAGAAAACACTGGCCGTGTTGGGCGCAACTTTTTGGAAGTTTTGGTCCTCGGTGCTCTTCAGCTTTGTACTTGTTTTGGCTTTCAAACTTTTTTCATCTGAGCGTCACTGGTTAGTCTTGTGTGGACGAGACGCACGTCTGGCGTATTGGATTTTAAACCTGGTGCCTTTTTTTAGCTATTATTCTTGTGTTTCTTTGTCCTTTATGTTCTCCCATTTATTTGTATTGTAATCCTGTCATGTAATGTTGTCATTTTAATGTTATATTCAACAATAAATCGATAGAGATAAAAACAATTCCGGGTTACAAACTAAAACTGAGGGAAACGCATCAAATATAAGAGGAGAACAACGACACAACAAAAACACAAGTTTAAAATGTAACACACACAGAAACGAACTATAA